TTTTTTTTTTTTTTTTTTTTTTTTTTTTTTTGTGGTACGCAGGCCTCTCACTGCTGTGGCCTCTCCCGTTGCGGAGCACAGGCTCCAGACGTGCAGGCTCAGTGGCCATGGCTCACGGGCCCAGCTGCTCCGTGGGGCACGATCCCGTGTCCCCTGCATCAGCAGGTGGACTCTCAACCACTGTGCCACCAGGGAAGCCCTGTGTGTCTGTTTTTATGTCACTACCATACTGTCTTGATTACAATAGCTTGGTAATATAGTTTGAGAGTGGGAAGTGTGATGCCTCCAGCTTTGCCTTCTTTCTCAAGATTTCTTGACTATTCAGGCTCTTTTGTGGTTTCATATAAATTTTAGGGTTATTTTTTCTATTTCTGTGAAAAATGCCGTTGGTATTTTTCTTTTGTTCTCCATCTCTATAACTTTGTTATTTCAAGAATACTATATATATAGAATCATTCAGAGTGATTATCCATTGGAATTTTAACAGGCATTGTATTGTGTCTGTAGATTGCTTTGGGTAGTATGGCATTTTAACAATATTAATTCTCCCATTCCATGAGCATGGAATGTTTGTTCATTTATTTGTGTCTTCTTCAATGTCTTTTATCAGTATTTTATAATTTTTAGTGAATAGATCTTCCATTCCCTTGCTTAAACTTATTCCTAAGTATTTTATTCTTTTTAATTCTGTTGTAAATGAGATTTTTTTTTTAAATTTCTCTTTCCTATAGTTCATTGTTAGTGTATAGAAAAGCAACTGATTTTTATATGCTGATTTTGTATCTTGCAAATTTACTGAATTTGTTTATTAGTTCTAATAGTTTTTGGTGGCATCTTTAGGGTTTTCTTTATATAATATTATGTCATCTGCAAACACAGAAAATTTTACTTCTTTTGTTCTGAGTTGGATGCCTATTATTTCATTTTCTTGCCTAATTGCTCTGGCTAGGACTTCCAGTGCTATGTTGAATAAAAGTGGCATGAGTGGGCATTCTTGTCTTGTACCTGATCTTAGAGGAAATGCTTTCAGCTTTCCATCGTTGAGTATGATGTTTGCTATGGGTTTCTTATGTACGTCCTTTAATATGTTAAGCTATGCTAGCACTATACCCATTTTGTTGAGAGTTTTATCATAAATGAATACTGAATTTTGTCAAAATCTTTTTCTGCATCTACTGAGATGATCATATAATTTTTATACTTCATTTTGTTAATGTGGTGTATTGCATTAATTGATTTGTGGATGTTGAACCATCCTTGAAACCAGGAATACAGCTCATTTGGTCAGAGTGTATGATCCTTTTAATGTACTA